GTTTGTTATAGCGCGACTGTTGAAATTAAGTGTATCACAAAGTTATATTCGGAAAGAATAAACCAAGTTTTATTTAAGAAAGGACTTGTGTCGCTAAAGTTTCGTTGGAACGAAGTTACGGAAAATTAACTAACGAACGGAGGTGTAACAATATTATAAGTCACAACACGATTTTGTTTCATTCGAAATACATTCCAAACACACTGAACTGGAGAAAAACAGAAAAGCTAAGCAATGTTTGCTGGATGAGTTGAACAAATGTTGACAGGCCAGTTGTTGTTGTTCTTTTATATAGGAATAATGATGCGATAAAAGTGACTGTTTAGTGCGATTTGGGAAGTTGGGCCTATCGTTGTTACGTGAACTTGAACAAGTTGTGGTTGTACAACTACTATCGGAGAAATAAAACGATATTGTAAAGTGTATTGGTCGTTTTAGTTTAATTTTTTACGAAATAATCCCAAAATATTTTACTTTTGTCAGGAGTGAGATAAGATACTTTTAGTAAAAAAAAACAACAAGACTCTACTATGAGATTAAGCGTAATTGAAGATTTGTTGGAAATGATGAAACAGCGGAAAGAAGATCACAAAGAAAGAGAAAAATTAGAAGTTACAGAAAATTAAGAGGTCAAGAAGAAAGAAATATGAGAGAGAGGAATTACAAGAACAAGATACTAGATATACAGAAGAATTGCAAATCCAGATCAATAAAATGGAAGGCAAGAAAGAAAATGTACATCATGAAGTTAAAATAACCAAAAGAGATGTATAGTAGGATTATAACAAGAAACTAAAAGAAGTGCAAACGAATTACGACAACAAAATTGAAGAGGTACAAAAGAGCTTCATTGAATTAGAGAAGGATTCTAACACCAAGATTGAAGAAACCTTAAGAAATATATAGACGGACACCAACGGTTAGATAAAATATCTTCAAACAGAACTGACAAACACAATGATCAAATTAGCCACACCTATCTGCATCCGCTCAAATATTCTAACCTCAAATTGTTTCACAAAGAATAGGAGAAATCACCTGGTATACACCTGTTCGTGTTACTGCAAGACTTTGCTGGATTCCTCTAGCTACACTACTACTTCATCATGTTATAGAATTTAGTAGGCCAGTTCAATAACATCGCTCAATCGAGAAAACAACAGATTATGAGGAGGAACACAGTTTGAAATAATTTTCAAGATTAATGGATGAAGCAGTGAACAACAAGCTATCTGTCACGCTGCACATTTGAAGTAGCCAGCTTAACAACGTTAAGCAACATCCGAACAAAGAGCCATATTAAATATTCCACGGCCTGCAAAAAAACCGGGTCTTTTTGTCAAAATCTCCATCAAGTTTATGAAAAATGAAGTTTAGTACATCTAGATGGCACTTTTGTTGTCTTTGTTCCGTCTTAGAAATACAAGATAGAACTAGTTTGCCACTATGTCTCTTGTTTTAAGTACAACAAAAATTAATTCCCCGAAGAGGAATGAAAGACACTATTAACCTAAATACCTACCATGCCGATCGAATCGATATATTGCCAGCATTTTAAATAGTGTGCAAATTTTCTTAAACTCCTTGTTTTACAGAAAAAGGTGGTGTGAAGAGCTTGGGAGAGGAAGACCCGATTAAAAACATTTCTGCGTGAGGGAGAGGTAAGTAAACGATTTGTCCTGGACCTGAAATTTTCTGTGGGAGGCACTGAAAGTAAATGTGCATCTTTTAACAAAAGCTGTCCATTTGGCGAAGTAACGTGACTGACAGCATTTTCTATGAATTATGAGACTATTATATCAAATAATGTAGAAACTTTAAACTCTCTTTGGTGGAGGTCCAGGGTTAATTATACAACTGTTTATTCAAAATGGAAGTAAACCCCAAAATAGATATTTGTTTTGCAGCTTTAAAGGAGATATTGCAGGGAACTACACATAAAAGTACTCCCTACTCCTAAATGATGGCAGAAAAAGGAAAATGCTTTAGTTTGAAAAACAGGAAATCCCATCCACGAATGCAGTGAGACAGTAGTTGATAAGAAAATAATATATCTTGAGGATGAAAATACTTCATCTGCCCCAACTGATATAAATAGTGCTTTATATAAAGTAACTATTATACAAGTCAATGGCTTCATTGACGTCAAGTTTTACAACATGTTGATTGACACAGGTTTTGCAGCTTCCGTTGTTCGGCCTGATCAGGCAATAAAAGATGAAAAATTGCTTGTTGAGATGAAGCAGTAAGATGGACTAATGCAGACAGAAAGTGTTCCAAAGTTTCATTAAGAGGAAAGTTGAAGAAGCTTCTGTAGTGTGTGGGTAACTGATATTTGGGAACATACTTCTAGCAAAAACATAAAATATGACATTAAACTTGCTTGGAACAGGTTTACAGTTACAGATTCCTCAACGATACACAACGGTATCTACTACCTTGTGTTTTACTCCTTGTTTTCACTGGAAGTCTAACCTCTGATTGTGGAATTAACAACCTAAAGTATAACAGTGCACAATCCACAGAGACAAAGGCGTGTAGACTAAGGATAGTTATTATAGTTATTGTTTTTAGAATTCTAGCACATTGGTGGAAAAATGGTTAAATGGTTAGCTTTTGGAAATACTTCACCAGAAGTAATTTGCTGGAGAACCTGAGTTTCCTATCGAGATTACCTTGAAAGTATCACCAGAATAGAGCACAGTGAAATTCCTCTACCACCTACCTGAAAAGAACCGCCCAGTGACAAAGGCCAAGAGGTCATCTCATTCCGTAAGCCTCGGAAAATAAAACGATCAAAAAGGTTTAGTAACATGTCAGTTTAGAGACAATAAATAACTAAGGAAAGAAGCCTTAGTTTGTTTCACAAATTTTTCAGTTTTCTTTGTTTAATGTATTTAATTAACCAGTTTTAATGATAATTGTTACAGGTTTTTTATTGTTAATTATACAAGTGTTAAGTTTACTGTACCATTGTTTTCTTTGTGTAATATGATTGTTTAAGAGACTTCACATCCAGTGTTCTTGGCTGTGTTTCTGTTTTTAACTTTAAACGTTTCTATTGCTGTCTCGAGAGAAAGAGTGTTGATGTCACGTGATGAACGCTTCTTAATCACTATAACTTTCTTGAAAGTATGTGAAGCGGTGCCGGATTTATCTATAGGCTTGGCAGGCTGAAGCCTAGGGCCCCAAAATCTAGGGGCCTCCGGCCAAGGTGTATACTATTTGTGACGCTGTCATAGGCCTTTCTTACACATGCTGTCATAACACACTGTAGTCTCTAAACAACCCTTCAGTAATTTTCCTTGCACTCCATTTCAGAATAATACTGTCTTAAGCCAATAACTCGACACTAGCATTGATTTCTGTATTGATTTTGTTCTTCCAGGAAATGAGTGAGATAGATAAGTTGAAAACACAGCTGTGCAAGTATCAGCAGAGCCGCAGAGGACGTTGCCGTTTTCATCAGTAAGGTTAGTAATAAAACTACGCTGGTTTGTAGCGTCATTGTTAACGATAGGAAAAAACATACTAATTTTGTATATGGTTATCAAGTTCAGTAATCTCTTAGCTACAATAGACTGGAACTGGGAATTTATGAATAAAAGCTGTATTGAAATGTGGGTAATATTTAAGTGTAAGT